GTTACTGCAGCTGGGCCCTCCCCGAGGCCTTCCCTTGCTGCTGCCACTGCTCCTTTGGGCTTTTCCGAGGAGAATAAAACGTGTTTGAAGTGTAATCTTCATATCCCAACCTTGCGTCGTTCACTTCTCGCTGGGGGCACTCCTTCGCGCCTCAGGCCCGATCCCTCAGGCTGCCTGGTCTGCGTGGCTGGGCGGTTCTCCTTCGCTGGCCCAGCTGCCTGGTCGGCAGTTAAACGTGTAATTAGGATTTCAGATCGCCTTGTTTGGTGTCAGAGCCCTCTGCCAAACTTGGTGGTTAGCCAGAACAACCAGAGAGGGGAAATATTAAAGTTGTAGGAATTAAAGGACACAAAATAAAGAGACCTCGGGCATGACCAGAAAGGTTAGCATTAGAGAAGACTGAAATTCTAGTTGGAGAATAGGGGAATTGGCCTAAAGTGCAAGCCTTCCTGGTGTGCACCTTTTTGAATTCCAATACAAGGTTTTTTATTGGGGGGGTGGAGAACTGGTTTGTTGGGTTGGGTTTTTTTGTGTGTGGCCTACTATAATATGACTGTTCTTTTCAAGTTCACATAAGATGCATAGCTTATTTCTGTAATACTGTAATAAGGATTGCCAAGTGATTATAGATTTCGTCAGCTTAATAGAATGACATTTTATTTATTACCTTTACATTTACCTATGAAGTGTTACATAGCATAATGGGTGATTTTAATATCTATTATTGGACTGAAAATAATAAAAGAGTTTTTCTTACATTTTTGCTGTAAGATAAAAATTAGTGCTATGAATCTCGCTTTGTCTTCTTTTGCTAGGGAGTTCAGAACTTGGCTACAAAGCTTTGTTTATTTCTAAGTTGTGAGCTATGTTTCAGTTATATCTCTTTATTTACACCAGATGTAATCAGTGAGGTAAGGCGAGAGATAAAATTTACGTTTGATGTACACAGTAGTTTGATATGGGAGGTTGGCAAAGCCATTATGAATAGAACAGATCATTACAAATTCCAGCAAACTTTATGCCAGTGAAGGGGAAGAGCAGCCTAGACATGTGTGTTGGGACTACAGCTCCCAAGATGCTGCAGTTAACGTTGGGCTGCTGACCTGCGCTCCCCTGTTAAATCTCATCCTGAATCAAAACATAGGAAAAATAGTAAAATTCAACAGGAAGGGGCAACCAGTTGGGTGGGTTTCCTTAAGCACAATTATTACAAGAATATCAGGAAGTGGTTGGACTTATTAACTCTCAAGTGTAAGGAATTCAATTTGACATAGTTTGATTCTCTGTTTCTTTAATGAGGTAACTTCATAATTTTATCGTGCAGTTAAGAAATTTGAAGTTTTTACATAAGTTATAATACAATACAACTACAAAGTACAGATGCTAGCATAAGGAAGATAAATATAAATACAGTTGTTTCACTGACATAAAGTCAGTGCACCTCGATTTTGTACTATGAAATCTTTTAGTGTGTTACCATGATTTCCAGTATGTGGCACTAATACCCAAGGTAGAGTTGTTTGAAGAGGACGAGTTAATTGCAGTTGGGAAAAGCAGTTCAGAAAATTTGGAATTACAGTGTCAGAGGATCTTCATTTGGCTCCTGCTTCTACTTTATTTTGTAGTACTGGTTCATTGTATTCCTATGATAGGTGACACTTTCAGCCAGATCCTGCTCTCTGCACAAGAGCTACTTGTGATTGATCTGCACGCCAGAAACAAACACAGCATTCTGCTGCTTTATTTTTCTCTAGTATTCCTTCGACGCTGAAGAATTCCCGGTGATGCCATCAGAAAATGTGTGCTGGGGTAAAGAGGCTTGTGGCGGCGTGAGGCACGGCGAGAGGGCGTGCCTGTGCTTGATTCGTCTCTGCTGCTCCAGTGGCTGATCGGGACCAACAGTAAGAACTGCAAGGTAATGTGTGCTGGAAACCGTGCTGATCATCTAGAAGCCTCAGGATTTGACAAGCGTAAGGAAATAAAACCCAATCTGTGTAATCCTCAAGAAGCCTGGAGGATGTGGGAAAGGAGATTTAAACTGACAACTGTCTAGGTCTTACTTTTCTCTGCCATGCACTTTTATAGGCATTTACATCAGCGGGAAACATGCAGAACATCATCACTGCAGTCTGATAACATTTTACAGTGACTTTGCTTTGCAGCAGTGAGGATAACTCTACACAGTTTAATGCACAAAGGAAATAGACTCCAGGCATCTTTTTTCAGCAGAGTCTAACCTTGCTTAGAGAGACACAAATCTGGGATTATTTCAGTGAATTCCTGCACGCTATCCTACGTTTGCATAAGAGCAGGTGAAATCTAGAGTTTTGCCACCACTGCACATAACGTACCCGAATACTTTTTTAAGTATTTTTGCTTAGTTTCCATGGAAGCAAGGATTGTAAAATCAAAGTAGATAGAAAGAATGAATGTATTTTATCTAGAGTCCCACATTGGTACAAATGGGCAGAGTATCTCAGCGTGAGTTGCAGGTGTAGAAATAAAGCAAACTATGTGCTTTTCACAGGAGTATCACATGTACTGTATGTGACATTGTGTATAATAACTCTAGAGTCAGGCACTAACATAAGTTGTCCACAGGAATAAACAGAAGAATCATTTTAAAAGTGAGGCACGAATCAAGACTCCAAATGATGATGCCTACTAGTAAGCAAAAGTTAATTTCATCAGTGATAGTTTGGGGAGTCTGAAGGTTCCTGATTATTGCTTTGTGGTTTTTAAAACCATTAAGATGTATTTGTGTCAAGCAAGTGCATTCACTTTCTGGTAATATAAAGCAATGTAGAAAGGGATGCATATGTCAGGCCAAAATGGAACAGAATGATTTTTTTTGTTTCTTGACAAGCTGCACTTCCCCATTGGGTGGCTGATGGCCTTTTGCCTTTGAACGGTGCCATACAACTGCCAGTCAACCTCCTGGACTGCAGTGCCAGCTTTTAGATGTGGCAGCAGATTGGCTGTGACAGTGGGTTATTCATAATGTCTGTGTTCCTCCTTGTTTCTTGATTGCAAAATGCATGTTAAAGGTTTTATTTTTCTTATTTTCAGAAGAGGTCTTAAATGTTTATGTGAACTAAAGAAGCGTCTGTAGATGAAAAAGGAAATTAACCATTAACACTCATTCACTCAAGCACTTTGTATGACCTCTCAACTTTCCACTTTCTTTGCTAAAGTTCTTGGGTACTCTGTCAATTTTAATACTTCCCTTCCTTATGGGGATGCTGCGAGTATAAATAAGCTATCATCCTCCTTCTGCAGAGAAAGATCTAGAACACAAACTAAATGCTAAACCTCACTAAGGGGTCTCAACATTGCCACACCTGACCTCTGGGTTCTTACCTCAGTCTGGAATCCAAGCGCTGAATTATGTTTCATATAAAATGTACTAAAGACAGGCACCTTGAACCTGGATTTGTGACAGCATAACCACTGTACAGGGCGTTTGGGCTTAGTGCTTAAAAATACTGAGGAAAGGAGATAGGTCTGAAATCTGCTTGTGACTCCAGCAAGGCA